CCCCCCCACTTAGTATTTTTCACATATTACTTTCTTATTAAATTATCATCCCTATAATATATATTAATATAAAAAAAGTCTGTGAGATAAGGTGTCATTTTTCTATATATAGGGGAGGGGAGATCCATTTTAATTTACCTTCCTTCCAAAGAAACGTTTTTATTTTTGATTGTAGAAAAAAAATACTTCAAACAAAAGTTGTTTGGTTTGGTTTTGGAAAGTGGGACACATGATTCTTCGATGTGAGATATGTCGTAAATGTTATCGTTTTCAAGACATTTTAAAGGCAACTAATTTTTTAAATGAAATTTGATTTTTTCTTTGAGATAAAAGTTCTCGTCAAAATATTTTCAAAACACTTCTCAAAATTGTCTTTTGCAGTTCCAGAAATATAAAGCTTTAAAGTTAGAAGAGGATACACGTTAAGAATGTATCTGAGATACAATAGGTGACAAAAGTGCTTCAAATACAAAAAATTTGAATATCTGCTTCAAACGTGTAGTAAACCTAGTGATAATTGATATAAATGGTGGTTAACATAATATATCTCTTGTTTAAAAAGTTATCGTTCACTTTCTCAACGGTTTATTAGTTTTATTTACTATTTTTCAATTTTTTATAATAAAAATTTTGGCAGGGAAAATGTCCTAGTTCAACTTTAGAATATTAAATTTTGTATTTATTTAACATCAATATCCATCAGTGCAAAGGAGAAAAAGTAATTGGGCTAAGTTAAAACAGGTAAATATGCATTGTCTAAACAATAACTATCAATATTATTTCTTGTTATTATAAATATTTGATGAAAAAAATTAAACGTAGCAACAGCGTACCATGTAGTTTGTGGCTTGTATGTTGGCAGTAATGCACTGTACAGACAAGTTAGATGAAACAATAAAAGCCTCAAATTTCACACTTATCCTATTGTTCATCGAAATTATTTAATTTGTATTCTTGTTCTCTACATGAAACAATGCAGACAAAACAAGAATTTACGACGTAATTTTATTATACCGATTTATAGATTATTCGTTTGACATATCAGCTGATTGCAACGTTGCCGCATTTCCACAGTCCAGTTACTAACTCCTTACGACAATCGCAAAATTGTCACAAATAAAAATTAATTTCTCTGAAACCGTGTTGTGAAAACTAATCAAATTCTACAAATAGTTTCGATAATTCAGGATCTATATGTATAAAAATACTTAAATTTTTAGTATTATTTTTTCTATACGTTTTTACTAATTACATTCAGGAAAGTTGCTTTTGCCCTAAGAACACGTGTAAAATTAACATAATAATTACTCTTCATCGATTTAGTGAATCGACTTGAAATATTTTTCAGTATATTATAGATAATTAAGGAAAAATTACCTAAAGTTTTAAATTGGTACTAAGTTTCAAATTGATACTATTTTTATATAGCTTAGATACATTCTTAATCAAGCATCCCAAAAGAAACTGGAACCTACCTACCTAAAGTTTTAAATTGGTACTAAGTTTCAAATTGATACTATTTTTATATAGCTTAGATACATTCTTAATCAAGCATCCCAAAAGAAACTGGAACCTACCTACTACGTTCACGCCGTTGTTTCTGGTTAGCGTTAGAAGTCGGATAGTGGATAAAAATTTAGATGATGATACGAGTTTAAAATAACCATTAAAACCACACAAACCATATATGTTGAGTTAGTAGTTTTATAAACTTTTTGAAGCTTCATATCTCTGAAATGACTTATGTAATAGACAATTTTGAAGGCTGTTTTAAAAACATCTCAACGAGGTCTGCAACTTTTACCTCAAGGAAAAAATCAAGTTTCATTTAAGAAATTAATCCCTTTTAAAATTTCTTGAAAACGACGATATCTACAACGTGATTTACATCAGAGAATAATATGTTTCCCTTTAAACCAAACAATTTTTGTCTGAAGCATTTTTTCTCAATTAAAAATAAAAGTTTTTGGGGAGAGTAAATTAAAATAAGACACTCTGTATATTTACTATATGATTAATTGTAGTATAAAAAAGACATATGTATTATTCAAAGATTAAAAATACTTTTAATAAGTATTTTTTATAAGATTACCTCTTTTTTTCTTTTCTCTTCCAAGGCCTTCTGTTTCTCCTCTTCTTTTTTTCGAGCTACAAACTTTTTAATATCTGCAGATAAATTTTTCGGTTGTTTAACCTGTTTTTTTATTGGTGTAAATTTTGTTTGATAGCATGGAACAGCCTATTTGAAAAAAAAAAAACAATAATAGTTATTTGATATATGATCTCTATGTAATGTTTCAAAGGATTGCGAAAACCACTCAAATTTTACTTCCGTATATTTTGACTAAAATACTCTATATACATGGTGTCCCAGATCACCATTCTCAAACTTCACAAGAGCAAAACAGATTGAAGTGAGCAAGAAAGTCCCATATTGTTTTGCGATATTGACAATAGTTTTCGAGGAATTAATTCTAGAAAATTGCATATGAAGAAAAGAGGAGCACTTGAACCGCTGAAGTCGCTCAAGACCTAGCGCGCTTCAATTGGTCAAAAAACGGAAGGCGGTGCGCGGCGAGGGGAAAAATAACGCACTGTCTGTACTTATATCGCTGCACTTCTACGTTTTGCCGCACCGGGTCAAGGCGAAACGTAGGAGCGCAGCGATATAAGCACAGAAAGTGCGCGTTGTTCTTCCAATCATCACGCACCGACATCCAGGCACTATATTACTGGGTCGCGCTGTGGCTCGAGCGCTCCTTCCTCTGCGCACACTTTTCTTTAATCTTTTACAATTAATTTCTCGATTATTACTGCGAATATCGCAAATCAGTATAAGACTTTTATGTTCACTTCAATCCGCTCTACGTTCTCACGAGAGCTTCGTAGATTATTCTGGAATACCCTGTATAGATTTCACCAAAAACATGTCCAACAAGGGAACCACACGTACCCGATATCATGGATTTTGATCATGTTTTTCTAGATTATTCTACAACACTAATGTACATTCTGTGCAAAAGAATTTGTGTCAACACCTCTTCGTTCCGGAGAAAAAAATTTATGAGTGCTTTATGGGTTAACAAGGGAAGTGAACGAAGTGTTACGCGCGAATGAACATGTATTATATATCGTTGGAAATGTCTCCCAAAGTAGAATTTACATGTACAATAACTCACTTGAATGGCGCCTCCAGAGAGCATAGCGCACAAAAGATGTATGTAAGTTATGGAAGTAATTCAAAATCTCAGAAAATATGCATTTGTGAGAAAAATGTTTTAGACAAAAAAATTTATAGGATATAAAATGATGTATTTAATGATATTAATAGTTTGACTTTGAGCGGCGTTGCCAAGATCAGCTCAAGATCAAATTGATTTTTTTTTACGGAATACCTTTTTGTTACACATTGTTATAGCTCATTTTAAGAGCTTTCCAAAACATTATAATAAAGTATTTTTTCGTTAGATGCATTTTGAGTTATGAGGGTTGAAAGTTAGAATACCGCGTGCAAGATGTACAGTCGAATTTATACCTCTTTTGTGTGTGTGCGTGGATGTGTATGATACACACAAAAAAAGTTATTTTTCACCATAGTTAAAAACGTGTTCAGTAGGGGAAAGATGAGGTTAAAAAAGAAATTAATATATTTATCGCAGATACTAGCGTCGACCTCTGTGTAGAAAAAAAAAAAACTATTCATTATTGCACGTTGAATTAAAAAATGTCATCCAAATGTGCATCACACTAAAAAAAAATTATACTCTACCGCGTATTAATTAAATTTACACACCCAAAATGTTATGTATAGATCTAGTTTTCTTATACGTAATTAAATATCTTTCGAACATTTGAATATAATTTTATTTTTATTTTATTTTATTTTTTATTTTTGTTTTAATTTTTTATTTTTTGTTTTAATTTTTTACATTTTTTTGTTTTTATTTTTTTATTTTTTTAAATTTCATTGTAATTTATTTTAATTCATTTTAGTAGCAAAAACAAAAGTAAAAGAAAACATAAGTAAATAAAAATAAAGAAATAAAAGATTAGAAAAATATACTAAAAAGAAAAGAAACTAATGATAGTGGTAGCGTTCAAAAAGCATTTGTAATAAAGAATTTTACTGCAAAAATCAAATAAACACTTGATATAAATAGGATTTTGATTACAAATTTGGCAAACGGGCTTAAAAGAAAAATTTATATCTTTTATATCTTTAAACTTGTAACGATGCACACCTGCATCGTCACTACTCCGGCCCGACCGACCATCAGTCGGGACGTGCACCGGCGCGTTGCGCCAACAATAAACACCGAAAAACCGACACGCGTAAACAACCGATAACAAACATAAACAAAGCGAACAAAGATCACGCGAGAAGGAAACAATAGCGAGCGAGCGCCGCGAGCACGCGACGCACACGTGTACGGCGAGCGGAGACAAAGAAGCGTCAAGTATATAATCCGCGACGCCAAATTAATCAGGACCAGACCGATCCGGACCGTCAACCGAACTCGATGCTACACAGCGGAGAGCAAGGCCTACGACCGACTCGTATCTGCTTCCTCAACCTGCCAACGATCACATCCTCGCAAACTAGGACCGAAGCCAGTACGTTAGCTGTGCTCTGCCGATCTTTATCGACTCTAGTTTGCATCCCGTCGACATCCCGAACAAGGACCGAAGCCAGTAGGTTAGCTGCGCTCTGTCGAGCTTTCTCGACCCTTGTTCTCTGCCTTTCGACGAGCGAGATCGGGTGTGAATACGCCGATACATCGGCTACTCACGTCCCATCTCGTCTCTTGCGACGCCGACGGGCAAGCGAGCGCGTAGCCGTCAAAACAGCGAAGACAGCGTACGATACTGTGACACGACTTCGATACCGCCGACACCGCGCGGTCCCCGCGACCAGCCACGCGAGCCGCGTACGAATCGCGAATACCGAATCACGACACGCGACCGTCTGCCGAATCTCCGCTAGGCGAGCCTAGCTATCGCGCTATACGCTCCGCCTACCGACTTACTTGTCGCGGCCTACCGAAACCGCGATCCGGTAACTGGCGCCGTCACCCAGGAGCATTGTATACTAATACGCGAATACTCTGTACCAAGGCTAAATAAATCTTTTTGTTATTTTTATCTTACACTCCGCTATTATTGCACGAACCCGGACTCCGACGAGCGAATACATCCGTGGCAACGACACCAACCGACACGCGGAGGACGGTTGTTACAAACTCCACGTAATACCAAATCCGCCTTTGAACCATGCATACCTAAACATTGATTGATATGTTGCAGATTGAAATTGGTTTAAAATCAAACTTTGAATTTTTAATATATTTTCACGTCTGTGCATAAATATTTGATTTCCTGTAAGAAATGTATGTTCCGTAAAACGCTTGATAAAATATTTCCATTAATGAAAACAAAAAAGATCGAGTTGCATGAAACTTGTTAAACTTTCTGACAAAATTTTTAATAAAATAGCAACATTATCGTCTTGGTAAAGTTCATTGGATTTTTTAGCGCCCCACGAATCTACAATCCGAATAGTTTTTCTCTATATTTTGTTCAACAATGGGTTTAAAAACATTTTGAAAGAGCCTTTTATCCAGTCTACCAGATTTAGAACACCAAATTACGAGATTTTCGTAATTACGAATTTGTATTGTCGGAGAAAATTAACCACCCACTTCTTGGAGACAAATCAGCATTGGCGACATCAATTTTCCCTCCATAGAAAGAATTAGTTAGATTGTATAGGAATGAGTTCGAGCGTTTAATTGATAGACCACAGCTGTCGTATTATTTTCGTTTGTAAATGATAATGTACGATTAAAAAGTGACGTATAGTTAAATCCTGACTGATCGGTATTGAATATTTCATTTGCGTCAAATTTTGGATAAATGTTATCAATAAAATCCAGATGAAATTCAATGTCTTTGTTCATAATTTGCTCGATTTCACGTTGTTTCTTGACAGAAATGAACAGACAAATTTTTCTTGATAAAAACATCTGTTTAAATTTAGCGACCCATTTCGAGAACGCTTTAAAATCCATCAATCCAATCAATCTGGCATGGTACAAAGCCCAACATCGAATAGCTTAATCATAAAATTAAATAGAAATTTGAATAGAAATTCCCTCCGAACGGGTCTATATAAATTGCTCTAAACAATATTTTATTACAGTTTGCCACTTTTCCCTATGTGTGCCATGTTGCTCAATATATTTTTCGCATCTACTTATGTAGTTACAATATTTTATTTTGAGGAATCGTTTTTTAATTAAAAGACTAATTTGGATGCTGGTTGCGTGTTTCTACAACACGTTGTGCATATTATAGAAGTATAAAATCTTCATTAGAAGGTAAGTTATCTTCCTATTCATAAATTAACTCGATTTCGCCATCTTCAAAAATGGTATCAGTGTATACATTTTCAACTACCTCGAACTCAAATTGGTCTTCGTTATCCATGAAATTGATCATAAAAATGATTCTTTCCTCTAGCTGTATTTCTTTGCGTGTTGAGTTACCCTCAATAATAGGATAATTTTTAAGTTTTTGCTTCATAAATTCAAATACTTTTAATGCCCTGTAATAGTCATGTTGTGTAGAAAATAAGAACAAAAAACAACAAAATCCCGCAGAACTTAGGAAGTTATGAGCGTAGCTCGCGCGACTAGAGTCGCAAGCGCAACGGATATTAAATTTCGTGTGACCGTAAACGATATCCACAGTGCTCGAGATATCGCTAAAGAGAAGGTCCACGCAGTGGTGGAGAATGTCGGTTAACTCGAGACGATCTCACGAACTTTCCTCTCAGCCGAGCGGCAATGTCGAGGAAGTGCAGAACTGTAGAATTACCAAAAATAACTTTGCCAAACAAGCGTTCGTATAAAAGGTAACTCAACGTGCAACGCATTCAAAAGGCTTCGAGCCGTCGCTCGCGACGGCTTATATAGTCACTTCGCTAACAACTTGTAAGATTTAATTGCGAGCGATGGCGCGAAATAGCGCCGGCAGGCGGACACTTGCGAGTATCGCGGCGCCCGGAACACGGCTGCCCGCCATACGTCGTACAGGTATTACGTCCCGTACGGAACAATATACGAGAATATGTCGAGGCATACACAGTCAGTGGAACCCCGATCTATATGAAAATTTTTCCCACCACTTACATACTATAGCCACTCGTGTCTATTTGTGTGACGACGCGCGTTCGGCTAA